TTCCCCAGACCTTGTAGCCGCACCAGTGGAATCCCTGGGAGCTTTTCTTTTTCTTTCTAATTTTTACTTATTCATTTTTTTCTTCTCTTTTCTTTTTTCTTCTTCTTGTCATTTTTGTTTTTCTCCTTTTCGTAGTCTCTCATCTCTCCACTCCAACGGCAAGCTCCCCTAGCACTCTTTTTTGTTTGTATGTTTTTGGCTCCTGTTCCTCTCTCCTCTCTCCCATACCCATCTTAGCTCCACACATCACAATCTCCCCCTTCCATCCTGCCTACCTGCACCGTGCACTTAACATCACACCACCAACCAGCACAGGCACGGCCTACCAGAACTGCCCTGCACTGATTACCAACCTGCTCTGGTGGTGTAGTAAGTGCCACAAATAACCCATACCAGCAACTGCTCTTCAGCTAGACCTGCCCTGCTGTACCATATCTGAGCAACTGACCCTGCCAATTAGAGAAGGAGGTGAAAAGTATTGTGCCCACAGATGAGCAAACAACAAAGAACACACAGCCCACCTGCTCAGACATAGCCAAATTAAAAAAAAACAAAAGGGTGAAACAAATGAATCTACAATCAATAAACAAGAAAAATAACTACTGAAGCCCCGAAGACAGCAGACAATATCAAAACATTTACAAAAACAGGACAGGATGGTTCCAGTAGGCATCCAAAATAAAACACCAGATGACTTTCCAGTGGAAGAAAAGGCACTAGCACTACCTGATAGGGAATTCAAATACTCAGAATTATCCAAGAGTTGAAGCAAAAAGCAGACAAAAATGAGGAAAAAATAGACAAATTCATGGAAAAGGGCAGGCAAATTCATGGAAAGTACAGACAAAAAAATGGAAGAATTCAGGAAAATAATGCAAGAACAAAATGCCAAAATAAATTCACAACTAGAATTTATACAAAAACAACAATTAGAAATCCAAAAGATAAACAACAAGATTTCAGAAATGGACAGTGCCATAGAAGGGCTGATGAGCAGATTTGAAATGGTGGAAGACAGGATCAGTGGAATTGAAGGCAAACACTTGGATACTACTCTGTTTGAGGAAAACTCAGAAAAAAGAATGAAGAAAAATGAAGAGACCTTGAGAATTATGTGGGATACAATCAAAAGCAAAAGTCTTCAAGTGATAGGAGTTCCAGAACAGTGAGACAAAATACAAAACACAGAGAGGATCATTGAAGAACTGCTGACAGAAAACTTCCCCAATATCATGAAAGATGAAAAGCTAGCCATCCAAGAAACTCAACGAACCCCATATAGGATAGACCCCAAAAGAAAATCACCAAGGCATATCATAATCACACTCACCAAAACCAAAGACAAACAAAGAATCCTGAGAGCAGCTCAAGACAAACAAAAAGTCACATAAAGAGGAGAAACAATAAGACTAAGCAGAGATTATTTGGCAGAAACCATGCAGGCAAGAAGGCAATAGGATGATATATATAAAACCTTGAAAGAAAAAAAATTGCGAGTCAAGAATAATATATCCTGCAAAACTCTCGTTCAAATATGATGGTGTAATTAGGACATTTCCAGGTAAAAAGAAATGAAGGGAATATGTAAAAACTAAAGCAAACTTACAAGAATTATTAAAGGGAGTCCTTCGATCTGAGAACAAACAACTTCAGCTCACAGGCTGAATCTAGGATGCAGGATTGTACCAGCCAGATACCAATCTAGGAAGTGAACTCTCAAGGACTATCCAAAACCAAAAGAAATACAGCAGAGAATCAGAGCAGTTAATCTATAAATGACAACAACATCATAACAATAAAAGAGGGAATAAACGGTGTAGGTACAGAACCTTTTAATAGAGAGGACGGCAAGGCGATACC